TTGAGATTATTTACATCCATTATTTGCAATTGAGATTTTACTTTCTTGCAAATAAAAATCAGTTCATCTTAATTGAGCATGTTGGCTTAATACGAGCAAGAATTGATATGCAAAATTTAAAGTGGTTTTTCTTCAAATTGATGCTTGGGATCACAAGGTAGTCATATAGATCTACTGCATGCGTAAATTATCAATGACTATTGTTAAAGCCTACATTTTGTCATTTGACATTATGATTGCTTTACAAAGTACTCTCCCAGACATTTTACTAACTCATGACATAAGGCATTACGAGTGAGTATCTACTCATTTCATTAGATTATACTCCCTAGTGTTCGAGATCTAGTCCATTTTAAAGATTATCTTCAAGGTGTTGTACTTAGCAATTTGAGATTCACACTAATGATTTCAAGTCCTTGAAATCTCATTAACTTTGCAAAGTTCATTACAACATCAATTATGATGGTCTTTAATTTATTGATCGTAAATTAATTATCTCTGGTTACTGATGGCTAGAGAATTTGAGGTATGCACTACACATACTTCAAAACCCGTATCACATGTTGCGTACAAGATAGTTTTCCAAAATGTCTTTTACATGAAAAACTTGGTATACTCGCCTTGGTCAACCAGACATTGGGTTGAAACTGAAACTATCAGGAATTTCATTGGTTTATGACTATTATGATGCTAAATTCTAACAATATTTGAATTTTTATGTATACTTTATGTGACACAGGGAAGTTAATTTTAAGGTTTGTGCACCTTAAAGTCTACGCTGAACCACTCAAACTCCTTAAACACATCAAGTCGAGGTAAGTGGCTCTTCCTAACCATTGACTAGACTATTCAGGTATTCCATGGTTCTAAAAGACACATCTATACGATGGTCTCAAGTGTGCTTTATCCACATGAAACCATTGGCTCATTATCCTGGACATCAATTACAATCAAAATTGAATGAATAACGTTGTAGAATTCTCCCTGCATGCCTTCACTATGGCCCTAGGATCGAAGTTTAGCACTTTGTCTTATATGTCTAGACTCAAATTGGTTTAGTAGAATCCTTTATCCAAAGGATTAGGCTCATTCCATGATCTTAACCTCATAATTGCAACTTACCAACTTTACGTTGGAGTCATACAGTTTTACACGCTCATGACCAAACTGCATAATGTCATTCCCCTCTATCTTTGATACGTGGAAATCTACCAAGTATTTCCCATCTGCGATAATTCGGTTGCATACCGATATCACCACCCCGACATACATCATTGGCCCCTCAACATATATTTGGGATCTATGTGAGGAATAACTGTATAACCGTCAATACCTCAAGCCCCTCACATGGGTAGTTATTCAAGGTCGGTATGTTGATTCAATGAGGAACATTTCCAGGCATTAGGGGGAGATTTCAAGTACCATACAAAATGCCAGGAAATTAGTGGAATGCTCAACACATTTCTGCCTCAAGTCCACGTACTCAAAAATCTGAACCATGTGTTCAGAAGATTTGCAACACATTGCAAATAACCTGCCAGATTCATTTACTGAAAATAAAGGTGTCACATAATCCTACAATCCTGCAAAAATATGCCCGAAAGAGTGGAGGTACCAACAAAACCACTCAACTCCCCGTTCATAGCAACAGGGGGAAAATATGGCAATAATACATCAGGATTCGGCTCCTCGCAAGCAAGGATATCGAGGCCTCTGAATCAGTAAATGCAAGTCAACTTCACGTTGGCAGACACCTAATGGGTAGTATACTCCCAGTGGACGGGCAACCTCCACCAACCCCAGGTCATAGTGCACACAATGACCGGGACATCGGGATACCCGACTCATCCGCATTGGAAATCGCAAACAGTCACCATGGGTAATGATATTTTCATCAACTCTATGTTGATATATAGATTCTGAAGAAACATATAAGCAGAAGTCTACAATTGTCGACATACATTTCTCGACTGGATTGAAAAATCCTTCCACATGATTCAGGTTCAAAGACCATGGCCATGGCAAAGTGTGAACAACACTCGAACTGAACTCGAGCAAAGGGTATAATCTAGGTAGAAATAATCTTGCTCAATAAAGGGAAAGGTATTCACGAAAGCAATACCTACACCTGTTTTCTTCTGGAAACAAAATTGAGAACAACGAGGTGGTAAACATAGAGCAAGTATTGTAGCACAAGGGTTCACGCAGATACCCAACTCTTCTCCAGAGGTGAAATCTTATTCCAATAACTTATATCATTGGCAGTACAAAATCATCTATCTATACAGTTGATAGATGTAGTGATAACATATCCATGTTTATCACTAGATTTAGACATAGATGGTTCCCAATGGAATCTCACTTCTAAATCGAAATGCAAAACGCAACATACACTGTGTAAAAACCAATAAGTCACCATATGACTTATTGTTGTCGGTACATTTGGGTACAACCGATATAGTGAGTTCCTTATACACAAGGATTAATCCTACAATGATGATTACCCATGCATGTCTGTCATACACAGGGATTATTCCTGCAGTGACGAAGCACATGATCATATTAATGGCAGGTTTTGAGATGAAGGATTGGGTAAAACCTCGAGCACCTTCACTCATACATTATGGTACACTATGTTGTCTATATCCAAAATATATTGGAGAAATTCATTGTGGACAAATCTTATACATCCATAACTCACGTGGCTTCATTCTCTAGACGTAGAGAAAGATCCATTAAAACCATGAGTTGATGGGAATGATATTGGGACACAAAGTTCCATATCCTTGTGCCATTGGACCCACCAAACACAATTGGTTGGGAGTCAAGAATATCTTTTGATATCTCCAAGGCATCAAACATTTTGTCCGAGTCTTTCAGTTTCAGAGAAATCTGGACACCAATATCATTGGATCCATTGATCAGATCCCTACTATGCTAGATCATAGACAAGCTTTGTGTTCCATCTAGGTGTGATAGCCATCCCATGAAGGTCTTCGAAACAGACCTCGTGGCTACATCCACCAACCATTATCTCAAAGATAATGTTGCTTGTGTTGTCTGGATGCAAACAGGTTACATAGTAAGCAATATCACTATATTCCTCATCTTGCAAATCAAATCACATGACAATCTCATTGATTTGTCTATAAAGTCTCTACCAACTTGAACATTTCATGAACATGTTCATGGAATTGGTATTCGACGACTTCAGGATTTGCAAGTATCAGGGGGGAGTATCTTCCTGAATTACTCCTGTTCAAAGCATCATATTATACTCCTTTTCCCTTTATGAGTTTACTTTTACAGGTTCTCATCAAGGTTTTTAATGAGGTAATATCAACATTAGATCATATGTCATACTTTCTGTTTTCTCCACTGGAGTTTTTAGGAAAGTATACACGACATATTTATTGTCCTCTAAACTCTATGGATTTTCTCATATCGAGTCAAAAGAGACAATTATTATGATATGTCATATCATTTTCTCCTTATATTTTTTCCACTGGGTTTTAAAGGAGTTTTCAATGATATATCAGATCGCACTCTTTTCCCTTATGAGCTTTCCCTCAAAGTTTCTCATAAAAGGTTTTAACGAGGCGACATATGCAATACTTTCTATTTTTCCCCACTGGGGTTTTTAAAAGAAAGTATACAAAGCATATTTATTGTTCTCCAAACTCACCAATGAGTTTTCTCCTTTCTTAAAGATTTTCTCATATGAGTTATCAAGGAGACAATAATTATTATATGTTGCACGTTTTCTCCTTATTATTTTTCCCATTGGGTTTAAAGGAGTTTTAACAACATATCTGCTCTATTCTCCTTATATTTTTCCCAGTGGGTTTTTGAGGGAGACTCTTAAGATTATACGGAAGATTCTCAAGATGGAAGATCAATGTACAAGATGTTTTCAATGATGAAACATTCAAGGAGCGATGTTGTACAAGGGTGAGTGTTGGGAATTAATTAATGAATAGTCATTAGAAAATGGGTGTGTCCAACCTCGAACAATCACGTCCCTTCTCTCTTTCTATTGCCAACAGGCATCTGTTCTAGAGGGAGGCATGCCTCCGAACAGACACATCTTCTTCCCACCTCTTCCATATGTATATATACTTGAGAATCAATGAAAACCAGGACTGATTGTCCTTTCGCTTTCAATCTCGTTTTACTCTAACACCTACCACCATCATACCAAAGCCATGCGGTCCCCGCCCCCTCACGTCGCCGAAGTGATAAACGAAGGGAGAGGAGGCTCGCGGTCTCATCGGGGAGAAGAGTGAAGGGGCCACCACCTTTGTCGCTAGGTCACTGGAGCAGGTGGTGGGAAGAAACAATTCATCTATTCCCTCCCTTCGTTAGGCGTTCTGGAAGTGTGAATCCTCACGACCAAATTTCATAGAAGCATAACTCGACGAGCCTCGCCATTGGTGTTCCTGCCATGATGCGAAGTTGCACTTACTCATGCAACACACGGTTCATCGCTTAGAGCATCTCCAATAGATGGTCCAAAATTTGACGGTCTAAAACGGAGATGTGAAATTTGGGCCGTCAAAAAGTGTGTTTTGGAGCTCCGAAAAAAGCTCAACTCCAACAGATGATCCAAATTGATGGTCCAAAAGAGCAACTCCAATAGATGGTCCAAAATGAAGATGTAAAACGACATACTCCATCTTTCCATCTATATAGGGCCTAATGCGTTTTTCAAGACCGCCTTTGACTATTGATAAGATTAATAGTACATGACATGCATAATGTAAAAATTATATCATTGAAAGTTCCTTTCACATACGAATTCGACGATGTGCTTTGTGTAAGTTGCATGTCATATATTATTAATCTAACATTTGGTCAAAATTAGCCTCGAAAAACGCATTAGGTCTTATATAGATGGAAGGAGGGAGTACTACTAGTCCATTCAACATAGTTCAAACATCAAATTCAACATAGTTTCATACATCAACTTCAACTACTACTTATTCAAACTACTAGATAAACTACTCCTCATCGGAGCTACGGAACTGCTCCCAGAACTCCTCCTTCGTCGGGTCGTCGCACCCCTCCTCCTCCTCCTCCTCCGAGAAGTCTGCCCAATCCTCCTCGGAAGAGGACTCGATGGGGATCACCGTCGAGGGACCGACCTCATCCTCCTTCTTCGGCCCCTTCTTCTTCTGGTCCGCCTCACGCTTCCAGTAGTACTCCATCTCGGCCTGGACGTACTCCGGATGCTCCCGAGCAAACCTCGCCATCGCCTCCTCATCTGTCTCGCCAGCACTGACGACAACCGACGGCTTCTTCGTCTTCTTCTTCTTCGTCGTGATCTCCTTCATGTTGATGCCCTACGGCACAAGCATCTCCGCTTCCGCCCGACTCTCGATCTCTGGAAAGTTGAGGTGCAACCGAGGCCTCTCGGCACGCCACACCGCCACGTCGTAGGCACGCGCGGCCTCGTGGGCGGAGGGGTACGTGTCGATCCACCAACGCCTTCCGGCGTCGGAGAACTCCACACCCTAGTTGCCGGAGGGCTTCTGCCTCACGCTGAAGAAGCCCGACTTGCCCTTCGGCGTCTTCTTCGGCGCCATCGGGAGCGGCGTGCGACCGGAGCGGTGGCGGACGGAGCCGGGCAAGGCGGTGCTGCGGGGCGGCGGTGGCGGGCG